CCCCCACAAACCAATTAAAATAGCTGAATTCACATAATAAAATCGGTTTTTAATTTTGATCTACATTCTATTGAATTTACATTAAGAATAGAGAAAATACTATTTAATAAACAAGTGATTGAATCACATTATTGCTAACTCATTGTGAGGCTAAGTCCACCCCCTCCCCATTAGTGTAGATAATATCGTTTGTTAAAAAAAAAAAATCATTTGACAACTAATTCAATCACATTATTATGCGCATGCGAAAGACTTTTTTATAATCAGCATTACGCACATTTTAAGATGTTTTGAACGTGTTTAAAAATAAAAAAAATAATATTTAATGAACAACTAATTGAATCACATTATTGTTAGCCTATTGTGAGATATTAATTAAAAAAATTGTACAAAAAGAATTAATTATTAAAAAAATCTGTTTAAATGATGAAAATACCCCTACATTATTTGGTGCATTATTTTAGGTTGCTTTTGAATTTTTTTGTTTTGGGGGTATTTTTGTCTAAAACTTTTTGATGAAGTTTGTAACCTCATAAAGAGTTGTTGACTTTATATATAAAGATGAAAGGGGTAAATATCAGTTTACTACCATCAAGTTTCGTGGTTTTCAACATTTGGTACATGAATTTTTTTTCGTCCTAGAGTCATACCTATAGTGTTAATTTTAGGATAATCTCATACATCTGTTAGTCAAATTGTTAACTCTGTCGTTAACTGATGATGTGGCGCTTATGTGAATAATGACTGGACGTCACGTGTCATTAAAGGGTCTACGTGAAAATTAAAAATTCAAAAAAATAATTATTTAAAGAAAAGTTAAAAAAAAAAAAGAAAAAAAAAGCAAAACCCAGATTATCTTCCTTAAATCCCCCTGTGCCCACCCTCCCATCCACACCCAGATCTTCTCGTCGACCCGTCCCTTCCCTCATTGTCCTTCACTTCTCTTCCTTGCACCCATCCTCCCTGCAAACCCACCCATTCCACTCCTTCTCCCTCTATTCTCTCCTCTGCACTCACCTTCCCCGCACACCCACCCATCTGCCCGCTCCTCTTCCACCCATCTGCCCACTTCCAATCACATTCCAATCAAACAAATAAGAAAGAAAGTATCTATTTTTCGTTTGTTTTAAGCTGACTTCCTGTTCAAATCAAACAATTAGACCAAAATTAATATTTGTATTAGACCAACAACTAGATCTAACCATAATTCCTTCTAATTTCTGACAGTGGACATTTTTCAGTGAAATTTTACACAATAATCCCCAAAAGAAGCTTGCACGCAATTAAACCTAATTCACGATGGGGTTCACGGGGAGCTCTAGGTTTATGACGGTGAGATTAGCAACTGTCCGAAACAACGCCGGATAAAGATTCGAAAAGGAGGTTGAGAAGAGGAAGAAGAAGACGAGGCGAGAGAAGTAGAAACCGAGGAAGAGGCTGATGAGGCAGCAGAGGCCGTGGAGTAGTAGCCTTAACACCGTCGCCGGCGAGTTGCCGTCTGATGTGGAGTCCAACGGCGCCGATCCCCTAAAGGTGTTGCTCCGTCAGGTGAGGTAGCTCTGGTGCAAAGCCGAGAGCTTCATAATCTCTCTCTCTGTCTCTCTCAAATCCTAGAGAGGGAAAGCCGAGCTAAGAATTTGAGAGGTGGGCTTGTTTGTTGTGTGGTCTCTGGAGCTAAGAATGGGAGGGAATGGGTGGGTTTACATGGAGGATGGGTGCAGGGAAGAGAAGGTAGGGGTTGGGAGCCCATATTTTTTTATATATTTTTTTAATTTGTTATTTTTTTAATATTCATGTGGGCCCTATATTGACATGTAGTCATTGTCCACGTGGACGCCACATCATCAGTTAACGGCAGAGTTAACAGTTTGACTAAATGATGTATGAGACTGTCCCAAAATTAACACTTTAAGTATGACTATGGGATAAAAAAAACTTCATATACCAAATGTTGAAAACCATGAAACTTGATAGTAGTAAACTGAGATTTACCTAAAATAAAAATAATCACTAAAGTTACCATGTAAATTTCCAATGGTACTGAATATGGCCATTGTTTTAGGAGGCAGATTCTCTGCCCTCCCACTTCCCGTGTTCTCACGTGCCCTCCTGTTTTGTGTAGTCACGGTTAAGCCACGTCAACATTTTATATTATTTTTTTATAGAGATAATAAGACAAAAAAGAATAATAATATATAATGTTGACGTAGTTTAACCGTGACCATATAAACAGAAGGGCACGAAAAGTGAGAAAGTACCATTGTTTTATCCATTAATGTCAGCTTTCTGATGATGAGATCACGGAGGCTTGGTACATGGCACGATCAAAAATCAAGCCCTAATTGTAAGATGTTCCAAATTCAAAATGTGAAAATCACATAGCAAGGAAAAAGACGGTATCAAACCGACCATAGAAACAGATTTTTTATTTCATTGACAAAGAATAAAAAAACATTATAAAATAATCAAGACGGCTATACGTTATCAAAGTACATATATATATAATCTTGCTATATTTTTTTTTACTGAGTTACAAAAAGTGCATTTATAAAGAATTAATCCTAAAACAAATTAGAAAAACCTAAGACTTCAAATAACAACATACCCTAAACAACCATCCCCTTCCAAGATTTTTATTTTTTTAATATAAGAGGACGATGATCCTTGTTTACAAAATCATTTAAATACAAAGATATTGTAACCAGTGGCGGATCCAGGAAATAATGTTTGGGGGGTCAATAAGGATAGCGCGCGCAGCGCGAAATTTTTTTTTAACAGAAACGGCATGCATATCGTCATTTCATCGGGTCTTGGTAGGATAGCGCGACCAGCTACTCCAAAATCCTTGTTCAAAGGTCCTGAACGTTCAAACATGGAGGAAGAGATTGCTTCAACTTGTCGGCCTTCTCGGAATCAAACACACAAATATGAAGCACAAATGTATCTGAGCATGCACGTGAGACCTTGAGAACTAGGAAATTTTCATGTTTTTCAATTTAGATGTAAGAGTTAATATCTTACTGTGCCAAATACAGCAACTGCTGATTTCCTCATCTGCATCTACCCAACCATTATGCTTGGATCTCTCATAGAAGAAACAGCTTGTTCACTAATATTTTGCAATTGGAAAAAGAAAAATGAATTCCTTGTGAATATCTGGCAAAGCATATCACAATTCCGTCATAGGGAAAGGCATGGTTACAAGTTCAATTATAGAGCCAAACCTGATTAAAAGCACGCAGTTTGCTTTTAAGTGTTGAGAAGGGTTTCTGTAAAACCCCTCCCAAAAGATTTCCTTGTAATTTCACAATTTCCCTACAGTTAAGTGAAGTTTACAATTTGGTCCCCACTTACTTACCCTATCCGGATCCCTTTTTGGGATTTCCTACCTATCACAACTTGCCACGGGGCAAGTCCCCATTGTCCTCCTTCTCATCTCCCCGAACTCTCCTCTATCTCTCTCTCTCTCTCTCTTTTTCACTCTTTAACTCTCTCTCTCTCCGATCGAATCCACACCCACGCACACCCACACCACTACCCCGACGAAGGTCTACATCACCACCACCCCGAGGACTTTCCTTCCCTCTCTCTCTCTCTCTCGTCTCTGTGAAGTGGGAATTAAAGGTCAGAAACTCTACACAGAACCTGCAACCGAAGTCTTTTTCTTCTTTCAGACATTTCATCGAACATGTGGTGTGCAGCTCCAAGAGGTCGCACCAGCAGCTCCAAGGGGTCGCACCAGCAGCTCCAAGGGACCTCTAAGGTTATTTCCATGGCTTCCAAGGGGTCGTGCGACCCCATTGACCCCACTGTGGCTCCGCCTCTGATTGTAACATCCCACATCGTCCAAGGGAATGAATCTTGTAAGCCTTATATGTATATTCCCATCTCTACCTAGCACGAGGCCTTTTGGGAGCTCATTGGCTTCAGGTTCCATCGAAATTCTGAAGTTAAGCGAGTTCGCGCGAGAGCAATCCCATGATGGGTGACCCACTGGGAAGTTCTGGTGTGAGTTCCCAGAAACAAAACCGTGAGGGCGTGGTCAGGGCCCAAAGCGGATAATATCGTGCTACGGCCGAGTCGAACCCGGGATGTGGTGGGGGCCCGGGCCGGGATGTGACAGGTATCATTGTATTTGTATCTCCTTTCTGATCTTGATGCCAAACAAGGTAAAGTTACCATGTAAATTTCCAATAGTACTGAATATTAGACCAGCTATATTGTCATTTCTGGCTTGCTTGGTAATTCGACAATGTCTTAAAGCATTTCTACCCATGCTAAAGTGACATGGCTAGATTCCAAATCCAACCCAAAATACACGGAAAAGATCCTAGAGATCTCATGATTGTGACCGTTAATCGTACATCGTACGGTCATAAATAGTTAAGTACTATTTATATTTAATTTTAAATTTTGAAATGATTTCTCACCGCACGATATACGATGAACAGTTATGATCACGGGATCCCTAGAATCTTCAGAAAAAGGATCCAGCAAGGATCCTTTTCCAAAATACACGTCCAAGCATTTTGGCAAGCCATGATGGAGTCTTGGCAGCAATGATTTCGATTCTAGGTCTAAGTCCAAATCTATGGAGTTAATATTCATAATGGATGGCGCAGCATAACTATTGCGACATATGCTAAATTAGTCTCATCCGTTGAGTAATTGGTAAATAATAATTGTTATGACATTAACTATTCAAAATGGTGGATAGTGGTAAAAAGAATAAAGACAATTTACTATTTAAGTGAATAGTAACTGCCAAGTCCACTCCTAAAGCCAAATCTATCAAATGGATGGAAATGCTCTAAAGCACTCAATAATTATATTATTGGACCTAGCCACACACACACACACACATACATACATACATACATACATATCTATATAACCTGGTTCATCATTTTGATATCCTTATAAATAGTATATACATTTTCATAGTGCTTGCAGTTAGCAACTGCAAAGTGCAGAAGAGACCATAAAAGCCAGAGGATAAAATGGCGAAAATAGCCTTGGGAACCACCGGTGAGGCTGCTCTTCCAGAAGTCTGGAGAGCCCTTGTGGTTGAGTTTATCACTACCTTCCTCTTCGTCTTTGCTGGTGTTGGATCAGCCATGGCTACTTGCTTTATCCTTTTTAGTCTTTCAATAACTATTTGGTCTCGCCACACGCAAATGTTCCACCTTACGAGAACATACTCTGATTTCAAATCTCATGTAAACCACATGAGTGGTTGATTAAGAGAATTTTTCAAATATCTGGTATTTAAGTTGGTACTTTACATGTCATAATACAATACAAGTAGAGGAAAACGAAAAAATATATTTTCTGTTCACTGTTGGAAGTTTTGAGACTCTTGTCCCACATTGGGGAAAACAAAATTCTCAAGGGCCTTTATATAGATTTAGTGCTTTAGTCTAGTAATTAGAATATGGGCCATTTGGAAATGGATTGAAGGCTTGGGCCTTATGGTTGTGTGGATTAGGCTTGTATAATATAGCCTAAATACAATTAATATTAATTAATCAAGACAAGGCACTTGGGGCCTTGGAATTTAAAATTAATCTGATTCATTAATTTTAATTTTCGGATTAGTTTTTAATTAATTTATTATTAATTAAAAACGTTTTGATTAAAAGACACAGCTATTAGAAAAGAGTTGTGAACCTTCAAATACACTGAACTGGTATTTGAAAGGGTGTGAAACAACCTATATATCTGCAATCCATGGTATCCAAATGAATCATCTTTTCTTCTTCCTTTTCTTCCGTACAAACTTTCCAGAGAGAGTAAACACACAAAGCAATTCGCTAGAATTCTATAATCCAGTGCGGGTTATAGGATTAGGTAGTTGTATCCTGGTCGAGCAGACGTTATAGAACCACAAGCACAAGAGTGGGACGGAATTATTGTTCGAAGGACATAGCTTTTACGCTAGCCTCTACCTTCTGTAATCAAGTTAGTACCGTTGACATTCTTATATTAATTTCTGTATTTATTGTATACTTTTCATTCTGTATAGCAAGTACCTTTTGTGAAATAAAAATTGTGAATTTCAAGTTCTGTTTATTTCTGTTATTCTGTTCATTTCTGAATTGTTCTCCAACAATTACTATGGCACATGAAATACCAACTCGAATACTGGCTACTTGGAAAAATCTACTGTTGATTAATGAATCAAATTACAACGAAAAGTTCATCATCATATCATGGACAAAGATCCAAGATCACAATTTCTTTGTCGCCTACTACATGATTGCTAGTCATGTAATGTTTTTTAACAAGCACAGATAGATATATTTCATTAACATAAATCGAACAAATATAAGAGGTGATATATATAGGCTCTTTATGGAAATGGCTTCTCATTTAAAAAAAGAAAAGAAAAGAGAATTAGGTTTGTTATCCCTTACTTTAAAGGTTTCCTATATATATATATATATTCTCCAGTAACAAATTTCTTGATCTGTAAAGAAATTCGCATAGTTATAGAAATAAAAACCCTTACATGACTACCATAATTTTGTTTATATTAAATATGCATAGTAACTGTCTGAGGAGAAATTTTTCCTATCTGAGCTGTGTAATTTGGTGGGCCAGATAAGCTAGAAGGAGATACACTAGTGGCGTTGTTTGCCGTAGCTGTGACACATGCACTAGTCGTGGCCGTGATGATATCTGGCGGTCACATATCTGGCGGTCACCTTAACCCTGCCGTCACGCTTGGCCTCCTGTGTGGCGGTCACATTACCCTGTTTCGATCCGTACTCTATTGGATAGATCAATTGTTAGCAGCTGCCGCAGCTTGTTACCTTTTAGAGTATCTCAGTGGCGGATTGGTGAGTTTAGAATTTTTCATCCACGCTAAGTAGAAGTTAATTTTTAGTTATTCAAATCTAATCCAAGTTCAAATATCATTTATATTGTCATGTTACATATCACATAATTTAATTGTTATTTTTCTTTGCAGACTACTCCAATCCATTCACTTGCAAGTGGGGTGGGCTACTTACAAGGTGTGATATGGGAGATTGTCCTCACATTCTCCTTGCTATTCACAGTCTATGCTACAATAGTCGACAAGAGTGGATCTCTTTATGGATTGGGCCCTACACTAACTGGGTTTGTTGTCGGGGCCAATATCCTAGCTGGCGGAGCCTTCTCAGGAGCTTCAATGAATCCAGCTAGGTCCTTTGGTCCTGCTTTGGTAAGCTGGAACTGGACTGACCACTGGGTTTACTGGGTTGGTCCTCTCATTGGTGGTGGACTTGCTGGGTTCATTTATGAAAATTTCTTCATTATCGAACAAACTCATCTCCCAATTCCCACAGTGGAAGATGCTTTGTTAGGTTAATTTGCAGCTCTGCTTCTGATGTAACTGAAAAGTCAAACCCCAAAGCTATTATATATATTTTGATTTTTCCTATTCATGCCTGCATACGACTAATCGTAAATTAACATTATTCTCAAGCTAATGTAGAAAAATTCAAATCTCTCTCTCCTTTCTTTTTGGACCAAGCTTAAGCTTCACAAACCTCCTTGTCCATTCTGGCCCTACCCATGGCACTGTGGAGTAGCGGGAAAAAAATAGAGTTGGGAATGTGACGATGAATGTTCATATCATAACATATTGTTGGAATCATTACGAATGGAATATAATTTAGAAAACTTTAACGAAGAACTCTCGATACTGTTCACTTTAACGAAAAATTACATTTTTATATTAAAAAGTCAATCCTGGTACTATTCACTTTACCCTTAATTTTGTCTTTATCGTTAAAACTCAAAGTTTTCAAGCTCTATTCATTAGTTTTCCTTTTAATTTAGGTGCACAGAATTGTGACAATATTAATTGCATAAAGCATCATTCCTACTAAATGATCACACTGATAAATGATCAACATAATGGTCATAGAAACCGATACAAATAGGAATTACAATATCTTCGCTCAAAGTGGAAATTCAGAGTATACTATAATATTACATGGTCGTGTGATTGTTAATGAAGATTTCTCGGACCAGAGTGGGCACTATTCTGTATATGCTTTTACCAGTCTGTCCAAGAATTGGTTAAAATAACAAAGATCAAATACACAAAATGCATGGAAAATATGTTTACTCTAATCATTCTTAGTATAAAATAAATTGCATGCAGCTACACAGATATTATAGATTATTATGATACTTCATGACCTACTGAAAATGTCTACCTTTGAAGCAGCTTTCTCTCAACCCATGAATTGGGGACAACACAGGGTTAGAAAAACTCCTGTCTCTATAGTTCAATCCCATTTTCTCTTCAGGTGACCCCTTTACCCTCCACACCTTAAAACTCTGGTCCAAACTTGCACTATAAACCAAAAACCCCACTACAATTCTGTCCGTCTCTAAACAAGCAGCCAAACACCCGACAGGTCCTCTATGCCCATCCAATACAGCCAAACACTCATGGAAGCAACTCCCCTCGCCTCTCCTCCAAACCCTAATTGTTGTATCCTCTGACCCACTAAATACCAACTTCTCGACAGCCACTAGGCATAGGACTGCAAAGTTGTGACCTTGTAAAAACCCACAATGGTTAAATCTGTAGGTCAACTTCTCCTTCTCCCAAAAATTAATGGTTCCATCTGAAGACCCAGAGTACAGGAAGCAACTAGAGTTAAGTGATGAAGTACTTAGGGCTATGGCATTTACGGGGTAGTTTTGGAATTTCAGTGTCATGGTGAGAGTGTGAGAGTTTTCTCCCAAAACCCTTCTCCAAATTTTTACAGACACATCAGAGGAGCAAGTAAAGACACACCCATCCTCTTGGTTCACCAAAATTGCATTGACATCGTGTTCATGGGCCACAAACGAATCGACAGAGTTTTTGGTTAAAACTCTCCAGGCTTTAACTGTTGTGTCATATGAGCCAGTGTACAACAAACCTTCTGCATGGTAATATGCTAAGCATGAAACAGAGTCTTTGTGTTTTAGGGTGTTTTTTGGATTTTGAAAATAAAGGAAATGATTTTTTTTTTTTTTGGGATGGAAGAAACCTTTTTGGATTTGAAATTATCTGTGGCTGTGAAGTTCCATATTCTGATTTTGTGGTCTTTATGTATGGTGAAAAGCATGTTACTGTAAGCCAAAATGCTTCTTACTTCACCTGAAGCTGTCTGGAGGCATCCAAATTCCATGTAGTCCGGTTGCCTCCATGCACGGATTCTGGTACTCTTGGAGCCAGTAAATACTACTCCATGTTGCCTTGAAATTGCAATGGAGTATATGGTGCCTTCGCGGAGGTGGAGGGAGGCAATGCAGTTGTAGAGTGTTGTGCCAAAACTTTTTGGAACCAAATCAAGCTAACCCATAGGAAATATATCAAATGGAATGCAAGAACAAAATATAAAAGAACACCAAGATTTTAACGAGGTTCCTCAACAGTCAGTGTAATTGGAGTACGTCCTCGGAGCAGTAGGAGCTCACCCAATAATCCACTATCAACCAAATGGGAGTTTACAAAGTGTTGGCAATCTCACAACCCAAAACCCCAATATACCCAATAACTCTCACACACCAAAGAAACAAATAGAGAGAAATCTAATGAATAATTTCCTCTCTATACAAAGCTCAAAGCTAATACAACAAATACAAATTTGATGTAGTGATAGCTAACCAATGAAAGAAGCGACAACTTCTCCTTCTCTGAAATGGGGCTGTGGCAGTGACTTTTTTCTTCTTTGTACTGCTCTCTGTTTCAGCTGCTATGCGGCTGCCTTTTCTTCTCTGATTTCCAAAGCAACAATTGCGGCCAAATACAACCCTAAGTCACCTCGTGACTTCCACATGGGCCAATAAAAAAAGTTTTTCTCCAACATCATCATTTATCATCATCACAAAGCAAGGAACAACATCATGATGTCTCCCCTTTTTTTTTTTCTTTTTATTTGTTTAATAGCCAAAAAGTAATGGCCACTTGGCCACCATTCAACATAGAGAAGTGAAGGGGATTGAGTTTGGAGAGGGGAGAGGGTCCATGGGGACTCTGGGCTTGGGGGCATTAGGGTAAGTATTGTGGTGAGGGGGATGGAAGACATTGAAGGGCTGCTAATTATCAGTTGGAGATCTTGGTCATACATGAATTGCTGATCATTAATGGAGAGGTCATTGGGGGGTGTCTTCTATTGCATCAGTTTCTTCTACATCTTTGAAGCCAAAGAGAGATTTCTTGTTAAAGAATTCCCTGGAATTAGGGTTTTTAGCAATTAGCAGGAGGGGTGGGGCTAGCTAGATATAAAAGTTAGAAAGGGCGATGTATTATATATACTCTCAGTTTTTCTTCTTTAATGCTATAGATATAAATGACTATATATATGCTATACTTTGATTTGGAAAATCTGTTAGGTAGCATCCATTACATATAGTTTTTAACTTTTCTTTAATGAATTTCCTCTTCCGAGTTCCAACCCCACCGTCCTTATCCCATTAACATTAATTTGGGTAATAGAAAAGGCTTGTATAAAATCAATTCAGACACATATTTAGAGCACCCCATCGATAAGCCGACATATTGCTGGTGGTTCGTTTTGATTTCTACATCAATAGTAGGTGAAGGTGGAATGGTGAAACAATATTGTAGCAAGATACAGTTGGGAGCATTTGATGAGAGGTAGCTCGGATTATTTGATTAACTTATACCTCTATCAACAACTAACTGTTTGTTGTCATCGACTCGTAAAAGAAAATCTTCATCAGATTAACTTATGTCTTGTTGAGAGGAAAATCTTCATCAGATTAACTTATGTCTCGTTGAGAGAGAGAGAGAGAGAGAGAGAGAGAGAGAGAGAGAGAGAGAGAGAGAGAGAGAGGCTGATATCATTATAGGAAGAAGATGATTATAGTACTACAATTCAGAGAGAATTTCGACGCTGATACCATGTTAAAATAGAGAGAGACAACAAGGAGAGATTGAGGTATAGAGATAAACTGATGATTTCAGTATACATATGAACATGATTACAGATGCAATTAAGTACAGAGGAATGTTTGCTTTTTAACCAGACTCCTTAATAAAAAGACTTAACCACTCTTATCTTTCACTAACACGATATATTAACAAACTAGACTTCCAGATTCTCTAATCAAATGTAACCTGTTACCTGTCACATATGCATGGGGCTAGTACAAAGTTTATGTCCCCAACTGTGTAATTTTCTTTTTCTGATTCAATCCTTGCGAAGTTTCCTTAGACTAGAGAGTATATATATATGCATGAGACTTTGTGAAGCTAGACGCCATGCCTAACACTAATATTGACTAAGCATTGACACAAAAGTCCCATGGAAACCATATGGCGCCCCTAGTGGAGGATTTAGGATTCCAACCTCGGGTGGTCCTAGTATAATAGATTCAAGAATTTTGTAGGAAAAATTGTGCAACGCGAAATTATTTTAAATGAAATATTTTGTTGAGCACTTTGTGTGTGTATATATGGATAACATTGTTTTGTTTTTAGAGATTAAAATCTTGCTAAAATACTCAGTGTCCAATTTTTTTTACAACTAGTGAATTGAAAGGTCTTTTTTTTATCCTAAGATACTAGTAACTTGAAAGATTTTCCTTCTCATGAGATATTTATATATTTCTCTACATGCATTTGCAAATACTCATGTCATGAAGGGAAACTCTAAAATTCCTATATCGAACATTTTGCGGATCGTATCTTACTAAGTTGATTTCAATCCATTTGGGTGTGGGATTTAGAAATCCCTTGCCCAAATAGAGCCTTAAGTTATTAATTTGACTAAAAAAACTGTAAACTAAAATGAGATATGAATTCGTTAGTACCCCAGATGGTGTAGAATGTGATTGATCCTCCATATATAATTTTACACATACAAATTTACCCATGCCTAGGGCAGAACCATACTTACAGAATTCACTCGCCCACTATGGATTGCGATTTGAGTCGCGCAACCCGAAACGCTATGCACTCACCTCCCAGTTCGCCGGCGTTCGTGTCCTAGGTCGGCGATGACCAGATGCGAAGCAATAGATTGGAACACAATTTCATGGACAGGGGCAGGGGGAAAGGACGATTCTGCAACCGAGGCCTTCTCCAGATCAATAATTTTTATTTTCACCTTTTTATTATCAAAATCTATTTAATTATTTGATGGCTTTTTTTTAGGTGAGTGATTATGGAGAATATACGGTAAAAAAAATTAAAAGATAGAGAATGTACATTTTTATTCACCATCATAACTATGTGTGTGCTCATTATACACCTCATTATATGTAACATGTCTTTTCACCTTAGTTTATGGTGCTGAATAAAAATGCTCTCAGATAGAGAATATAAAGTCTAAAAAACAATTTCAAGGATAAGCATAATAATATAATATTCATTATCATATGTATTTTTGTAACATCTCGTCCCTAAAAATGATGATTTTATAATTTTAATACATGATTTTACGAAAATACCTTTTGAGGCAAGGATGTTTGACTTCTGTCGACCGTTCAAAGTCACAATTAATGTTTCCAATTAGATTTTGAAGCTACGGATGCATAGGCGAAATCCGTTTGCGAGTCTGGATTATAACGGTATAATTACGGACATTGGAAATTATTTCACTAAACTTTAGATTTAAAGGAAAATTTAAATTCCACCATGTGGGAAGTGTAGCCAATTAGAAAATTAGGGAGGAAGCAGTGGACTAATCAGACAAGGGGGAAATGACTAATTAGAAGAAAGGGTGGACATCCAATCAAGAGAGGGGATCTCCCTCTTCCCGTCAACCACACCCACGCCCACGACCAAAACTGGCTTCGACCCGGTTCTAATTCCGGGTAATTTCTACCAAGTAATCCGACGAAATTCACCCATTCTCTACCTAGAAATCATCCCTTGACCTCCCTTCTTCCATTTTCACCCAAGATTAGGAGGAATTTGGTGGTAACTTGTTCTAAAAATTGGCGGTGGGTGCCGTGAGACATTGCTCGGGATTCACTAATTGTGAATCAATCTCCTTCAATTACCATTACCAAAACACTTCCCTAGAACCCAGGAACAAAGCCTAGATAGTGGTGGAGGTATCAGAGCAAGTTTGGAGGTCGAATCGAACACACCCAAGTACAGGTTTCCGACGAGTTTTAACAAAATTGAAGCTCTTCCATGCCTAATTGGCATTGGTCACAGGTATAAAAGTTACTCTACTCATTGAGATTTTCATTCACATGTATAAAAGTTACTCTACTCATTGAGATTTTCATTCCTGTAAATTTTGGTAATTTTTGGAAATAGTTGGATTTTCTGGTGAGTCGGGGCGGTCGACCGCCACCCGTGGTGGCGTGTGCGGCGGCGCATGGCCAAGGGGCCATCAATGTTATTCTTAGACTAAATTAGATGCCTTGAGTTCAATTTTGGTGATTGTATAACGTAGGTTGATCGTTTGGACCTAAATTCATTACGATACATTAATAGATATTTATACAAATCGACGATTCGATGTTGGATCATCACCAAATTTTGATACATTATAGTACGTAATATTTGAGGACCATAGAAACTTACAGATCTGGAATCCGATTCACGGATTTTCCCGAATTGGATTTGTAAGTTTATAAAATAAATGTTAACCGCCACTTGATTTTGGACAATTGGATCGTCACCAAATGTTAACCGTTGGATCGTAATGAAATTTTAGTATGTTATTCTAAAAGCATAATGTGTATCTTTGGAAGTTTCGGATTGGAAATCTGATGTGCGGATCTTCCGAATCGAGTTATACAGGGTTGTAGACCCTACCGTTGATCTTTGATCGACGGTTGACTTGTAGTCAATGGGTCCCGAACTATTTTAGAATGCCCTTGAGGATGTGTTTGATAAGAATTATGTATTCTATTGATAAGAGTTCTGAGATGTGATTCGATAATTGGTCACATGCGCCAATCATTCGAGACACCTTGATGTGCGTGCTAAAGAATCATAGCATGGACTCCAGGTGAGTGGATCTTTTCCTTTTTATCGTATTAATATAATTGATAGTTCCACAAATGCTTCTAAATTGATTTATGCATGTCACTTGCAAATAATTATTGTGAACTACGAATAGCTTGATCCTTATTTAGGGTACGTAGGCAGTCTAACGAGACGTTAGATGCAGCCATATAATAAATGAGACTAAATAATTGAGACAATAGCCTTGTTTGGAGAACTGAGCATTGTGAAGGACATTGGTGGAAAATGTGAGATTTAACTTTATGATTTGGTGGTTAAATGTTGTTCATAAATCAATATGTGAAGAATCAAGAAATTGAGGTAAGGAAACATAAGTAATGGTAGTTAATTAAACTAGTGTCTAATTGGGCTTATCACCGATGATTACTCTCGAAAGTAAATAGTTTGGGAGTGGGGCATTACAGTTTATGCATTTTATGCCATTTGTATATATGTTTATATATCTGGAAATATTATGACATAGTTGAATGTCAGATTTACATCATGGCATATTCATATGTGTATTACCTGAACCTACTTATTATGAATGCTTTGAAGTGTCAAATGACGCTACGGACGCCCAAGTAAGCTTTAGGTGAGTACATGTTGATGATAGTGATGGTAGTAAGTATGATTATGTTGAGATATATTAGAGCTCATAAACCTGCACCCTGGTGTTAGTGCTTTCGCCTGTGGCCAGGGCACAGTCATTCACGTGATGTTCACCTCCCGCACCTTACGCTTACCTTGGATCCAAGGCAGGTGGACAGTCCTGTCGTATAGACCACTATCGGTGGTTCCGACTCGTAGGTGACCCGCGATTATTCGCACAGTCTTCACGTGATCGTAGCACTTGAGCGTACTTACTTACACCCAGTCCTGTCATGCAGACCACTATAGGTGGTTCCGACTCATGTGCAGGGTTAGTGCCGTACAGGTCACTTTAGGTGACTTCGGCCAGATTGATTTACGAGCTATAAATAAAGTCGTAAAGGTCACTATAGGTGACTCCGACTTATATGCTAGCAATGATTGATGAGATATGTGATGAGATATGGATAAGTCGTACAGGTCACTATAAATGACTCTGACTTATATGCTAGCAATGATTGATGAGATATATGATGAGCTATGGATAAGTGGTACAGGTCACTATAGGTGATTCTGACTTATATGCTAGCAATGATTGATGAGATATGTGATGAGATATGGATAAGATGTACATGTCACTATAGGTGACTCCAACTTATATGCTAGCAATGATTGATGAGATATGTGATGAGATATGGATAAGTCGTGCATGTCACTATAGGTGACTCTGACTTATATACTAGTAATGATTGATGAGATATATGATGAGCTATGGATAAGTCGTACAGGTCACTATATGTGACTCCGACTTATATGCCAGTAATGATTGATGAGATATGTGATGAGATATGGATAAGTTGTACAAGTCACCATAGGTGATTCCAACTTGCGTGCTAGTATTAAGCACATGATTATTTATATTGCTAATGAGATGCTGGGTAATAGTATACTTTTGGGTTTACTGTTAGTATACTTTTGATTTCATACTTCTACGTAGTATGATTTGCTGGAAACTATACAGGTTTTACGGCGATGGGTTACTACCTTTGATAATGGAAATGATTTTGAAAATCCTTGTCTTGACCACTCACACTTTTTATTTTTGCACTCCTCCAGGTTCTAGTAGCAAGGTTCCTTATCGACGAGGACTTGTGGTACTCCCAGCTCAGGTGGCTCCTTATGATGGTATAATTATTATCTTTGCTCACTGTACTTGCCTTATGCTCTGTATCACGTGTGAAATGGGTCCACACCCGCTCACCGCGTATTTGTGTACATATGCACTTTTAAGTTTAAATTTATTGACATTTTTACACATTATCACATTCTATGGTTTCATCACCTTCCAGGTGTCGGCCAACACAGCTTGATTCGGAGTCCTAGTGGACTTTCCGGGTCGGGGTGTGTCAATTTGAATCATTTTACACAACCACAACACTTTTATTTAAACATTTATCAAATACTTGTACATTGTTTTTTGTGCTATAAGCACTCTTACAACTAGAGTTTATCAAACAGGCAACTGTTTTATTTTACAAAGGTTTATTCTCCCAACACAATACAAAGGTTTATTGTCACAGCACATCAAAGACAAGTTTTTTAAACATAACAATACCAAACTAGTCCTAAGTGGGGGTTGAGATTGGCATGAAGGCTCCATGAAATCCATATGGAACTCTACAAGGCAATGTAATTTTGGCAACAGGCTCACTGAAAAACTTCTTTGTATCGATCACATAAGCCTAAAAAAAATCGTTAAGTTATACTAATTGATTAGCACTTCAACTCATATAAAAGTGAATCAATCTAAAGAAAGTAACGAAATTTCTCAAAAGACTTCAAATATTATTATAGAATATAGACTGATCGACTTACTTGAGATATGTTGGTATCTTCATTGTGAACAAAAGTGATAACCCATCCATCATCTTCTTCAAGACCCCTTTGTTTTGGGACAAAAGAAGCTCCAGTGCAAAAGCTATTCTCCTCAAACATGTGAGTTTCCACCTTTATTGCCTCTTCTAATTGGCCTTCACTTGTCTAGTAATCCATGAAATAAAGGAATAAAGAATGTAAGTCACATATTCATGCATAAAATTGTAGGAGAAGAATTATAATGAAAACCTGTACAGGCCTATTTTATTATACCAAAGAAACATCAGCTGGTTCTTCAAAGTGTAGCTTGGCTAGACCATTATATTTGAGCACGCCTGAAAGACATATAGCCATAGAACAGACATTAACGGTCTGAGAAAAGCAATTTAGAGAGTACAATGAATTTAGGGATATTTTGGATGCGGTCCTTAATCCTTAACATTCTTTGATTAAAACCTTAATAGTATTCAAAGTTTGATCAAGGTCCCTTGACTTTGTACACCTCATTATATTACTATTAATATTTATATTTTTATAGTTTTGACATTAATTGTTTGATATTTTATGAGATTTATAATCCTATAAATTTAAAATCTCTCATTATAATACTATTAGAAAAGGTTACAATAAAAAAATTCAAACATTTTGATTGAATAAATGGATAAAAACTATGTAAAAATAAGAAATAATAAATGGCAAAAGAATGTATCCATAGTGTTAAAAAAATTGGTACGTTTTACAAAAAAATTGGTACATTTTACATATAACAAAGTGGTACATTAATAAAAAGAATGGGTACATTAGAAATAAATTAGGGTACAGATAAAAGATTAAAAATTATGAATACAAATGAATTTTAAAAAATATAGGGGCTAAAAGAAATTAATACATGGGTACAAAGTAAAACTAAAAAGAAAATACTCCAAATTTAAAAAAAAAATGTTGCAAATTAAAAGTGGGTACGAACTAAAAATATAAATATATGATACAAAGTTTAGGCATAAAAACATAAATATACCATATGTAATTTTTTTATCATTGATTAAATATACAATGTCACGTGATGGTATACACATGAGTACAAACACAAATAAAATTTTAAAAAATATGGGCACAAAAGGAAACTCATATATGGGTACAAATTAAAAATGAAAAGAAAATTGGTACAAATTAAAAAATATTTGCAAATTAAAAATAGGTACAAACTAAAAATAAAAATATATGATAAAAAATTTAGCCATAAATATAAATATACTAATTGTAACATTTTTAACATTAAAGGAATATATTTAAAAATAAAAATATTTTATTATTCAAATAATTAATGATGTTATTAATACCCAAGGACCTTGATAAAAAAATAAAAAATAAATAGAATTTTAATCAATGAAGTAACAAAAAGAATTATGTGAACCTAATTTTCCCATGAATTTATTTTTGGGAAAGATTGAACCTAATTACCTGAGGCAGAGCTTGCGGCAGAATCAACCACTTGGGCGTAGCCATATCTATTTCTGATACCGGAAAAAGCTCCGTTGATCATGGGAAAATCCATGCAAAACCTTTTTCCAGTGAGATATCTTTCACTGACTTCCCCACTTTGCATGTTTAATCTCCATTCATAAGCATGAGAAAATAAGTTTTCATAGTCGATTGGTGAGATATTATCATGATCATTTTCTTTACTTGGAATTGTAGGCTTAAATTTTCTTGGTGGCCACCCAAATTGATTCAATGCCTTGTCCGGTCCTGGTATAACTGAGTCCAGAGCTTTACAACCCCACACTACAACCTGCTCATCCCACAAACAAGATTTAGATTCCAAATGTGGTTTGGTTTGCAAATTAAATAGAAGTCTACTGATTATTATGGGCGATCCTATAGAAGTCTACTGTCTATTATGGGCAATGTTTTATACAAATAGCAATTATTGGATTATTATTCCTCCAAGAAGATAGTGAATTTTCTAATAAAATTACTAATTCGTTTAAGTTACCTCTTCACCATCTTCAAAACTATTGATGATGTGAGATGTGCAACTGGGTTCAACTTTAAACCAGCGGATTGAATCTGCATCGCCGTAGTGTGGCATCACACCGATTCGTGCACATCCTTCATGATTGTACTCTAATAATCTGCATATCAAAACCTGCACATCAAGCAATATATATAAAACATTGCATGCATGTTTTCATGGGGATATAATCAAAATGTGTAGAGTGGAACTATGAAGGATGCATCACTTACCGGCCTCCGTTAATGAGTCTGTTTATGTCGAAAGTTACACCAAAATCCATGATTATATAATACCTGCAAGAAAAGTATGCATGATTTTCAGTTAATTAAGTGACAAAAGTTTGGCTTATAGATTAACCAAAAATAACCACTTGCTTTAATACCTCTCTGTGACCCCTAATTCATGGAAAAAGATGCTCTTGTTGAGTTTGAGATCCACTTTGTGAATTAGTTCCTTTCCATCAGCTGAGCAAGGGGAAAATATATCACATCGGAATTTCTGAATGTCTTGTTATTTTTGAAGTCCTAGATTATTTCTAAATGATATTCATGAATGTGGAATGCTATTGGTACACACTTATTCACACTCTCTAATGCAGATGAGTCTCACAAATTGTGATAGGTCTGTCTATGTTAGAGAGTTTAAGCAAGACAATACCTGAAATTATTCCAATTTCCACATATGGTTTTACTGCGTCAACTCCAAAAATGACCAGCTCCTCTGAGCCTGGAGCTCTCTGGAACAAAAGCGAGAGATTAGTGTATAATTTAAAGTGAAAATTAAGGGCTATATATAGCCCACATGCACACACACACACATACACACACCTTAGGGTGGGTGGTAAAAGGTCTGTTCCAAGCTCCAGAGACATCCCAATTGTCCAAAGTTTCTAATGTGATGATGTCAATCTCTTGAGGTATGTGATCTTCTGTTATGGAGTAGAACTTCCCCGAATGCTCGAAAACATTGGTGTTGCTCAAATACTTGTTCGCTTTACCAAACCTCAACTGGAAGAAACATCACGAACTAATAAGAACAAACTTATAACTTTCAGGGTCTATATATACGTACTTTAAGTCGATAGATGGGAAAAAGCCTAATATGAAAGAGCTATAGAAGGTACTGGTTTTGAACTACGTCAATAAGTTAACATGCCTACCAAATTGAGGAGGAAAGCGGACAAAATAGCCCGCGAGTCGCCGCTAAAGGTGGGGAGAAAAGACGGCTTGTTTCGCTGTTTTTCGAGCTTGAACGTGTCGGTTTCAACGTGTCTGTTGTTGTACCGGACAGTCCAGCCTCCATCACTAACGTCGCCGTCCCTACTAAAATATAACGCATGTAGCATGCCTTCTCCTTCAACCCATACGTGACTTGACCTTCCAAACACAGATCTTGTCGATTTCAATCCTCCAAATAGAGGGTTTGGCCCTACATAATATAAATTGAAAATCAGACCGAAAAACAAATATGTAAATTGAAAAAATATAACGCATGCATGGACATGCACAAAAAATAATTTAAACAGTTGAGTGGTCACCAATTAGGCCCGATCCATGTAAATTGAAAAAATATAACGCCATGCATGGACATGCACAAAAATAATTTAAACAGTTGAGTGGTCACCAATTAGCCCCGATCCCCACTTGTTTAGTGCTGGAGTGGTACGGGAGCATCTAGCAATAAAATTCCTTTCTGATTTCGTAAATCATATTTTAGCAAAGTTCATTCTTCTAGCAAAAATACAATTTGGACCAGTATTGTGTTGAACTGATGATTAACTCAATTAAGTACAAGTCCAAATAAAGAAAATGTTTTAAGAAAAAACTCATATTTGACAACTTAGTTGGATTAGTATAATATAATACATATAGTAACTTGATTAGTTTGCCGAGTGTGGGACCATAAATTTTGGATCCCTGACACATGGCACTTTGGGTGGCAAGAATGACCGGAATGACCATCACCCATGATTCTCGGACTATCGAGCTAGTAAGATTTCCTAGTCACAATAGGAGTAAGGTACTACGATGGAGGGATATATTCCGGAATATGTAGTCAGACTGTTAGACAACATCAGTCGGACTAGACTAAGTCCGTAACCTATATTACTTGTCTCCCATGCAAGTAAGCAAAACCCTAATTCATGTCAAATTAAGATATCTTAAGGATTAAGCAACATAATCATAATCCTAAGAGGATTGGATATCTATCATAAATTCCCTCCTAGATAGTCTCACGATTTAATAGGATTACTTCTCAAGATCTCTATAAATACCCTTATTTGGGTATTTATCAGGGGACGATTCTTTGATCTCCAAGGATCTCTTTGACCACCAATGATCTCCAAGGATCTCTCTTACACGCCTAAGCCAAGTCTCCTTCATCAATGGTTCATGATGTTGCACGCATCACACCGTTCCTTCTGTATAACTACACCCATGATGTGATTTTTCAATCCCAAAGATATGTAGCTAGTCCGATTCGGATTCAATTACACCTTCCAATCAATCTCATTCATCCATCGCCGAAGTTCATGTGTAATTTCGACTGAAATTCATCCTTCGAAACCATATTACATCCCAAATATGATGAAATAGGACGAATTGAGATCGTATTTTGCAAATACATAATTATCTTGAATACATTAACATTTTTTTTTTCGATCTCCTAGAAGGGATAAAAGAAACATCTTGTTCTTTCTTAAACAATTTATGGTATGTAGTATACGTGTTAGTAGGATTCGAACCCATATGATGTTTTGACCATCTGTTAGGAAAAAAAACAAAAAACAAATGAATCTTGTAGGATTCCCAAGAAATTTTTCGATTTCTTCCAAAAGCAGATACTTATTTGTCTGCTTATCATGTTCTGTAAATAGCCGGGACTTTAAGGAATATTCAGAAAGGCATTTATAGAATCGACTCAATCCTAATATGAATGAGGGGGAAATCGAACTTTGTTATTCATTGTCGTAGAGATGCAAATAGGAACTGTATTCCTCCACTCTAATCGGAACCATTTTTGCGATACGTAATGCGTGAGTTGAAACCTTTCTTTTGAAATGGAATACTGTTCATGGAAGTGCGCAAATTTAGTTCCAACAATTGGTGCTTTCAATGAGAGAAGAACCATATTTCCCCGACCAATGGACTCTTATACTATGAACAACGAAGAAAGCTAGAAGATTATGGAAACGAAGCTGTGATTGATGCTCCACGTATCAACTTTGTAAAGTCCTTGAAAACGCATACCACGTTCAGAGCCAGATCAACTCGGTAGGACCACCGACTATTGCTGATTTAGAGTGATTACTCTGAATCGATAAAGATGGGGAAAAAGTTTGTTCTGATACTACGAAGTCAAAAGTCTCGTACCACCTAATCTCGGAGTAGAATTTTCTCCCTTCTTATGTTCTTCTCCTTTTCTCTCATTCTCTCACACTTCCTTTTTTGTCTCTCTTTATAAAAAATCAATATAAGAGGTCGCACTTGGTGCGATGGCAAGTGCCTTCGCCCATGAGCGGTAGGTCTCGGGTTCGAGACTTGGGAGTAGCCTCTCCATAAAATGGGGGTAAGGCTAGCCGACATTCACCTCTTCCAGACCCTGCGTAAAGCGGGAGCCTTGTGCACTGGGTACGACATTTTATAAAAAATCAATATAAGATGTTAACATAGCTTAATCATAACCGTTTAAAATAAGATGAGATGAAAGGAAAGAGGGATTGGGAGGGGAGATAATCTACTACCCTAATCTCACCATCTCCACTTCATGACGAAACCCAGATTAGATAAAAGGGGAGAGTTTTGTCTCTATAATATTATTTAATTGTTTTAATTGTCTAAGCTATGGCTAATTTAACGAGTTGTGTACTTTTTGTGTGCCCATTCGTCTTGTGATTCCAAGATGGATTGTTCCAGGATTAATACTTAGCGAATTTTACAGTCATAAAGATTGGACGCAGATAGATTGAAGAAACGTTGATACAATCCATGAATTAACTCCACTCACCATGGTATTCCGTCCAAGCAATTGCTTGAGACGACACGGCTAACCTAAGGGTTCTAGCCAGCACTAAGTCTACTCTAACGAGCTAAAAATAAAGTCACTTGCAACTAGGGCTGGGCACGGGCCGGGCCGAGCCGGGCCGAACCTAAGTTTGTAGGAACCTGACATTACCCGAAACGGGCCGGGACGGGGCGGGGATTGGATTTTCTTGTATAGGAACCGGACATTACCCGGCCCGGTTAAAACGGGCCGGTTTGGGCCGGGTCCACGGGTACCCTTTTTTTTTTTTTAACTGCACAGTTTGCAAACTGCACAGATTGCAATTTGCAGCTGCACAATCACAGTGACACTGCATTTATGCAGATTTTGCACAAATTCACCATTATTCACATCTAATCTAAATACAAAGTCTAATATCCAAGTTCATAAATTAAGTTTTAACAATACATTCAAAATAACAATATTACATCGTCCTCCAACATCTAAAAATGAAATCCACATAATAGTTAGCTCAGTCTTGCTCCTTAAAGAATGTATGCTCGATCTATATAAAACCAAACTGCACATATATCAAAACTGCACATTATAAATCAAAACTGCACATGTATAAATCAAAACTGCACATATATAAAAACTGCACATATAAGTAAAACAAAAAACACACACACATACACACACACACACACACACAGAGAACATACACACACACACGCACACATACACACATACACACATGAAAATAGCTTACTAAACCAGAAAATGATAACTAGAATTGCACTTTAATTTCTGGAATTAAACATGAAAATGGCATATACCTCCTGCTTCACTCATTCACATTTGCACAGATTCAAATTCTGTCCTAGCCCTAGTAGATTCACTCATTCACATTTGCACATTCCCAGCCCCTGCAGATTCACAGTCACTCATAAATCCGACTACACTATAATCAAATGCTCATAAATTTGCAAACTGCACAGATTGCACAGATTTGCAAATGGGCATAAAGAGTGAACAATTAAACAGAGTGAACACAAGCAGGCAGCACAATTAAACAGAGTGAACACACAACACACAAATTGTTGACCGACAAAACATATGCACGATATCCGTGAAACAATTAGGCCATTTACATTTTACAATTTGATATAATGCGATCTCCGTGAAACAATAATCCCATCAGCATCCAAAACATATGCAGGATATCAAACTCTAACTTTTTTGTTCTTGGAAATTCTGGACTTCAATTAACAAATAAAACTATACACATCTTTATCTTCATTACCCCAAATTAAAATCCCATATTTAAACAAACAATCAGAAATTCAAATTGCCTAATTAAAAATCAAACACAATGTCCAAATCTTTACCTTCTTGACGAGCCCCAATTGTTCCGTCACCACCCCCGCCACTCCCACCACCGGAACCTCCGCGATCCCCCGCCTCAGTCCTCAACTTATTATTCTTGTCCTCCAAAATGGCGCGAGCAGCCGCGATCGCGGCCGCAGCTCGATCAACAACCTGCATTCGCTGAACCCGGTCCCTTTCCTCCTTCGAAACCTCCAGAATCTTTTGGAACTCCTCGCTCCTCTTCTTCTCCAATTCCTCAACAGGCTCCACACTCTGATCATCAACATCGATTTTTGCAGAGTTGAGGGAAGGTAACTGTCGAGGGACTGAGGTCTGACCGTCTGAGAGTTTGAGAGACAGTAAAAGTGAGAGTCGGGAATCGGGAATCGGGATGAGAGTCGACCAATATGTTTGATTTCAAGTTAAGAAAAATAAATAAAATCAAAGTTTTAGCTAGGATTCTGAGTGAGCAGAGGCAGAACCGAACAAGATTGGGTCGTCAGTGCTACGCAATCTTCATCTTCTCCGATGGTGAGGTGATGTGGTGTCGTGACTGTCGTCGTTGTCGAGGGGGAGACGAGTGTGAGTCTCGGCGGCCCTGTTTGGGATTTCGAAGAATGAAATTTGGGGGTGGGTTTTGGAGAGTGGGATGGAATCGATGGATAATGGTTTAGGTTTAGAGATTGTATATAGTTAGAAACGGGCCATCCGGGGCCCCGTTATTTCAAATCCTAGAACTCGGCCCGCCCCTTAAATCCTAATCGACCCGCCCCGCCCCGCCCCGTTTCTATTCTCAAAAAATTGGAACCGCCCCGTACCCGCCCCGAACCTGAATTACCCGCCCCTACCCGCGGTTCCTGTACCCGTTTGCCCACCCCTACTTGCAACACACTGCGTGAATATTCCACGCTTGTCCTCTTCCACTACTAGCTCATAATGAAAAAGGACAGGAGACATACTATGTGGAGTAAGAAGTAAATTTTTGAGATATGCGTACGCTAGACACCTTTCAACGCAAATTTAGAACAACTCCTAAACCACATGGCAGTTATGGACTCGGATTCTCCCACATAAAAAAACCCGGATGATATTATTACTTCGAATTACTCTGGAAAACATGATCCTTAAAACAATGAGTAGAATGCAACTGTCAATCAGTTGGGCAGAATTTCGTTATAGGTTAATATTTCCCTTTGAGAAATCCGAAAAAAAAAACATAGTAAAATGTTCTATCAATTACAAGAAAATATTGTATTGATCTGAAATCCTTAATTAACAAATTATACATAAATATTCGGCAAGTACTGACCATTTCTTATATAGACACCCTCTGGAAAATCATCTGGAATTTTCCCTCTGATGCTGCTGGTGACATCAACTTCTCCTCCCAACTCATCAACCGGCCTGAAGTTGCTCTACATTAATCAACACAGAAAGTTACAAGTTAATTAATTTGAAATTTCTTACAACATTAATTTGTGAGAAACTAGCTATTGTAGTGCCTGAAACTGAGTAAGCTACCTGAGATGGAAGATACTCTTGATCGACGAATTCAAACATTGAATCTACCAAGAAGTCCAGCACTTTATCAGAAGTGTTCTTGAAAGTTTTGGAGACATCTATTTGCATGGGAATGACTTGTTCCATTTTTCCCATCATAAATGGCTGAATCTTGTTCTACATATGGTTGATCAAATCGGGTATAAGAACCGTTTACTGAAAATTATACCCTTGAAATTTAATTTTCTTTCACTAGCTAAACCCCCATGATAAATTGTTCTAACAAAAACTCAAGGACTAAGCTACAACTAAAGCAATATCCATAAGGGGTGTGATATCCACACACCCCTTTTTACTTCTCTCACACCTTTTTAGTTTTCGGCCGTCGGATTGGATGAATTGAAGAAGATCAACGGACATAAATTAACAAGGGGTGTGTGAGAAGTAAAAAGGGGTGTGTGGATAGCACACCCCTATCTATAATTAAGCTTGACTTAACAAAAACTCAGTGACTAGGCTACAACTAAAGCAATATCCATAATTAAGTTTGACTTTGCAGTCTTTTTTTATATGAAATCTTAATCATATCTTTTTCACAAATTTAATTCAGTTCAAATAACACGCATATGATACAAAATTCTCATTTGTTAAATATTACTGAGTTTACAATATGACATATGAAAAAAAAATTTGGATGTCTAAAAGACCCTTAATATCAAAACGTGTATGAGGTTCTAAAAGGCGCTAAACGCCTAGGTGTCTTGGCAGGCAGGGTCATGCGCCTATGCATCTAGGCAGGGGCTTATGCAATTTCTTCTTTAATTTTAATTAAATTTATTATATAACATATAAATAAATGTCTACTTATGCTTAAAAATTACATAATTATATTGGAGTTTATAAATTGCAATATGACATATACATTATAAAGCATTAGAACATGAAAACATAGGAAACAAGCATATCATGAGTGATTTTCCAAGTATTCAGCAAGTCTTTACAATTTATTGAAAAAATAAGATGCAAAATGAAAATTATTTATTTTCTGTCTAACTAAGAGTCGAGAGCTAAGTGGGTGATTGCAGGGTCCAAGCTGGCTAGTGGGTGCCTAGGCAGTCATGTGGCCATTTCTTAATTTTCAATTGCCTAGGAATTAATCGGGATGATGGCCAACTGACTAGCAACTAGGCGGGACCTAGGTGGCACTAGGCGGAGATTTTTAGAAGTGAATGTGCTTAATATATGTAATAATGCATGCAAACTAATTTACCTACAAAACAGAAGAATGTTGTTTGACTGCACACACCATATAATAATAACAAAACGTACCTAATATATGTAATAATACATGAAAAATAATTTACTTAAAATATAGGTACACTAATCTTTTCAAAAAAAAAAAAGGTACATTGATATTCGAAAAATAAAACAAAACATACTAGACACATATGTTAAAGAATACAAAAGCATGGTTTTTATTAAATCAATAGGGTACATTAATGTGAAAATTTATTGTTGAATAAAAAACGTTTTGAATTTCCATTCCTACATTAATTAAAATTTCAAAGCCATTACACATGTTACAAGCAAATAAACAAGCTTTCCATTTTAATTTTGATATCAACATAAAATGCTAAAAGGACTTAACTGAGGGTAATTTGGGGAATACGAAAAATATTAAATATGACACACAATCTCAATTAGGTAATTCGCTTAGGTGGAGCCTAATTATCAGGTTTTTGTTATAATAATATATTATTGTGGGTTTTATGTAAAAAAAAAAATTGAATTTAAAGGGGTAAAATCACATTTTTAGTATTAATAACAAGGCACCTCTAATAACAAAACATGCCTAATATATGTAAATACGTGCAAAATAATTTATCTTGAAAATAAAAGAATGTTTTTAGTTAATTAATTATGGGAACTGTTATTAGCATTCCAAAAATCTTATTCTACATTCCTCACAAGTGTATTTTTCTTTCTAATTATAGAAAATTTAGTGCCAAATGAGATTTTTGAAGTGCAAATAACAATTTTCTTGATTAAAAACTAATTAATTACCTACATTTTGCATAAAAATAATAATAAGAAAATGTGCCTAATATATATATACATGCAAAATAATTTACCTACAATGGTTGTCAACAAATAAAAGAAATGAAATAGTTGATCCTAAGAAATACTTTGTTTAAATTTTGGGTTCTATTTGGATGTTTAAAACGACATGAGTTTTTGTGAAGGAAATAAATTCTGCAAGAGCTTCTCTAAAGAACCCAAATTTTTATAAGACACACATATGCATTTGAACTATTGAATGAGATCAAGTACACTAGTCACCATGAAAGCTGAGGAGAGGGTGCTCTTCAAGTGATAAAGATTTTCAGAGGCAGAAGGCTTCTTCTTAAGAGAAGAGCAGTTCAGTTGAAATGGAATACATGAAGCCATATCTCTCTTTCTGCGTCCTTATCTCTAAGAGCCACGGCTTAACACTATATATACATACATACATACATACATACATATAATAATATATCGAATAGATTCCATAATGTTTTTGGTTTGGTCCTATTAGCAAGTAAATACAAAGCTAACAGTACATGCATAGCAAACAACTTTAAAATCTTAAATTCACATGATACACGACGTCTGAGCCTCAATACAAAATGCTACGATCTCAATACGATTTTACTGGAGAGGGTATAACTGGAGGAATAATAAATTAATAATCGTAAGGATAAGTATGAAGAAAGTATCTTATTGGACATTAATCTCTGTCATAGCATTGGATTAATTAATTGTTTAAGTAAAAAAACATGAAGATTCGTTTGGGCTTAAAAGCATCTTTCCGTGTCTAATGCTTCTGGATTAGTGGTTGAAAGCTTTGGAGAGTGCTGTAGAATTAAATAAGCCCACTGGCCAACATGGGTGGGGGCTTCCTTCACACAAAAATTATGAGGGACCTTTAACGGTTTTCCAAATTTTTCTTAACAATAAACAACCTAATAGCTTATTTAATGAAGATGATTATAACATTAACAAACAGAAAAAAAAGTTTAATATGATGAGAAAAAAAATTGCAAGTGGCCCTTTACCACAGTGGTGAAAAGGTGTTGAACCCTTGCATGACAGCGTGGGTTCGAATCCCGTCGGTGGCTAATCTAACACCTAATCTAAAAAAATCTATCATTTGTCAAAAAAAAAAAAAATAAATAAAACAAGAAAAAAAAAACTAAAAAACACTAATGCGAGAACCCGCTAGACTTGGAATTTGTGTCATACCCAATATCTTAATGGGTCATGTCATGTAACATTCATTAAAATGAACAGGTAATATGAGCTGACCCGAACTCGACTCGTTAATATTAACCAAGGTTCTAAAAACGCTAGGCGCTAGTCGGGCGGCGGGCTAGCGCCTAGCGCCTAGACGAATTTAGGTAAATTTCTTGTAAATAAGTGCATATTGACACCTAAAAAAACTATACTTGTATAGATAATAGAATAATGATAAAATGCAAATTAGGTACACTATTTCCATAAATATTGGATGAACTTGTAGTAAATCCATCATTTGCAAATTAGATACACTATTTCCATAAGTATACCACCATGAAACTAAAAAAGAAAAAAGCACGCAATAAATAAAAATAAAATAAAATAAAAACCTCCTAGGGCCGCCTAGGCGACCGCCTAGGCCCAACCCGATTTTTCCACCGGATTTGCCCAAAAACGCCTCGGTTGCTAGGCGCCCAGCGCCTAGGGCGTTTTTTAGAACACTGATATTAACGGATAATATGAACCGATCCGTTACCCGTTAAAAAAATATATTTTAAACCAATAAATAATCAAATTGAAAACATAATACTAAATTATTATGTACATAAAATTGTCATATAAATATTACTTCAAAAACTCATTTGTCTTTCAAGTATTAGGCCATCTCCAACTGAAAGGGGGGCAAATGGCCATGTTTACCCCTATAGCCTTGCAAGAAATTTTTTTTTCATAAACAGTGCCAAACCATATTTTATATCATCTCCATCCGAGGAGGCCAAAGGACCATAGGCCAAAACATAGCCCATTTGACAAAAAACCCATCTCCAACCGAAGGGGACTATTTTTTATCCCCCTCAATAATTTACTATTTTAATTGAATTAATATGATTAATTGAATTAAACTACCATATTAAAATAAGGTTTTCGGACATATTTTGAGTGCCACTTGTCGTAAATGAATAAGCCTCTAGATTTCTTATCTTTATATAATGAAAAGGATATGAAAAATTGAAATAAAATGAGAAAGATAGTATGGAATGGTGAAAAGGAGGTGAGAAATGGTGTAGAAATGGCTTAGGTATTTATAGAAAAAAAAATTAGAATTTTTTTTTCTTTAAATTTCGTCACAAAAAAATATTCAAATCCAATAGTAACATGACACCAGCTATTATAGGTTTTGGTTGGTCCAAACAGGTTGGCTGGCTAGCTCCTTTTGGCCAGCCCGCTGCCCTGGTGGATGAATTATGGTCCGATGGGGCCCACAAGCCCTTTGGCCTAGCCCTCGGTTGGAGACGGTTTTCGTGTCAAAACAGGTTATATTTTGTCCTATGTCCCTTTGGTCAGGTCGGTTGGAAATGGCCTTACCTACCCCAAAATAAGAGCCTTATGAAAAATAAAGGGAGTTATGTTTCAAGGTTGTGGAACCTTGCACATTTTTTTTTACAATAAAACCCTTCAATTTTTCATCAATTACCAGAGAAAATGGTATTGGAATTTTGGCTTGATATATTATCTTTAAGAGTTAGATCATGTTTTCGGTAACGCTTTTCACATTAGCACTCTCTTCCACATAAACTAAGAGGATAAAACATTTAATTTTAATGTGTTTTTAAACTCACTTTTAAGAGGATAAAACATTTATGAGTATGAATGTATAAGAAAGAGTAAAAAACTTTGTTAGGTCGTTGATTCTAAAATTAAATTGATTCCTTAGCGAAACGTTGCATGTTCAGACCAGTTGTTCCAACACCTTTAGACGTAAAACCCGTAGGCTCAAATGGGTATCCGTTAGGAATCATAATGAGAATAATGAGGTTGTAAGGTATAAGGCCCGCCTCATGGCGCAATGTTTCTCACAACGCCCTATAATTGATTACGAGAAGACGTATTTTTCTGTAATAGACGTTATTATGTGCCATTACTTAATCAGTTTAGTAGTTTCTGAAAGACCGAGTATACAACTTATGGATGTGATCTCTATGTATCTATATAGGGATCTAGATACCGAGATTTATATGAAAGTCCCAGTAGGACTAGTAATACCAGAATCAATACATGCTCGACCATGGAACACGTTTTCAATTAGGTTGAAGCATTCACTATATGGTTTGAAACAATATGGACGAATTTGTTACAAACGCCTAAGTGAGTACTTGATCGGAATAAGATTTGCGAACAACGAAATTGTGCCCATGCGTGTATATTAAGGCCACCAATTCTGATTTTACGATAATTGCAATATATGTCGATGACATGAACCTTATTGGAACTCCAAAAGAGATCCCAATGATTATTACGCACCTGAAGAAGGAATTTGAGATGAAGAATGTAGGTAGGACCTATGGTACCGGCCTGCATATCAAGCACTGTGACAATAAGATCTTAGTATGATTGGAGCTTTCTTATGTTGGAGTTATGCCCTAAAAGCCAATTTATGTAATATTGGATATTATGTAAGAACTCCAAATTAAATAATTACTATTGGTAATTTTATTCATTCATGAGTTTGTCTTTATATTGTAGTGATAATATGTTGTGAATGAGCCCATGGGATTTAATCGAAATACACTAAGAGGGATCCCGAGCGATTTTTCGAAAAATTCAACTTCGGTAAACTAACGGTCAACAGTTAATTTTAACGAAATATTCCATCAATGATGGAATATTCTGTTAAATTTGACGGCAAGTTAATGGAATATATCTTAAAATATTCCTTCTAAATTCTGAAGTGGATTCGGGTCGAATCCATATGGATTCAGGTCGGGTCGATTTGGTTCTAGGTCGAGTCGATATGGTTCAAGGTCACTAGTTTCTATAGATTTTGCCAGATTTTTGGGGAAAAATTCAAACGCACCGTTTTTTCAAATTCAATTTCAATTGTTTCCAAATTCCATCTTTGAGCAAACTAGGAGGAATTAAGGTTTATTACATTACTTATAATTAGCTTAATGGTTATTGTAGTAATTTCCCATATAGGAGAGGATCACCCAGAAGAATACTGCGGGCAGACTAGATTGGGTAGTTACGACCCTGCGACATATATATATATATTTATGGTTTTCTCGTTAACTGCTTTTTACATACCATGATGAGATAGCCATGTTTAGCTTACAGTTAGATTTTCATACACTTTACATTTATTATATTTATTGTGAGCATAAACATGTGGCCTGACATCTTTATATCATAAATGCTCATTATTACATTGGTGCCTTTTATTGTACTAGTCCGAGTGCAGGTCGAGCTCATGTGTAGTTCACATTCGTTTTGGATACAGAGTAGGTGCTAGCTTGTTCCCTCTTACGAAGTGGTACAAATCCCTTAGGGTGTTGACATACATGTATGTGAAGGGACTAGCACAACTTCATGTGGTGTAGTACTAGAATGTGAAACCTTTACATTGAACTTGTTCGCGTGGTTACTTTCTACATGACTTGTGTGCTTTCATTAGGTAATGACCGTGGATTTTTCTATGACAGTGATTTGAGATATTTCGTAGTAGCACCCTATATCCTTTAACTCATTTGTGTTGCAGGTTCCCTACTATCTATTATTGTATTATTACTTTAAGGAACTATATACTTGTTTTACATCGAGGGGTTACATGTTTTCGATAAGGTTTTCAGAAAACTTTATTTTCCACTTAGTCTTGTTTTTCTCCATTTCAAAACATAGAAATTGAGCTCGTGGGAATACGAGGATTCGGTGGAAGTAGCTGACAGTACTACGGTCAAAGTGGACTATCTTCGTAACAATAATCATCCTATATGGTACCTTTATTTTCTACGCTATGCTCTGAACTTCATATTTTGCATAAGGGTTTCCACCCAATCATGTTATGCACTCTGATTTATTCACACTTTTACACGTCAAGCATAATTAATGGCTTCGTCACTCTCCAGGTGTTGGCTAGCACATCATGATTCGGATGGACACGTGGACATACCGGGTTGAGATGTGTTAGTTTGGTATGGAAACAATGCTCTAAACGAATTTAGGGCAGGGAGACTTGTATTCCATAGTCAATTAGTTCCTAAATAAAGTTCCTAGTTGTTTGGAAAATCAACTAGACATTAACTATCTGGAAAGTCGGTGTATTCCGCAATAAGGTTAGCATAGTCTTGTGCTACGCGTGTTAGACACGTGATGGATATACAGGTGCTTGTCTGTTGGACAAGTTCATTGAACACTAACTGTCCAAGAAGGTTAAACGTATGGAAGCTTACCACATGTTAAATGTTGCAAAGCTTATGGTTGTAGTATGCAAATGGTTCTTAGACTTGATGCATCACATGTGTCTTATATTTGAAGATAAGAACTTATATTTCACCTTAAGATCCTCAATGAGATTGCGGAGCCCGATAGTTTGATAGTTGGGTTCATATGTATAAGTGTGAAGGCCATTCATTCCTCAATTAACTGTTGTAACTGTTAGACAATTCATTCTTTAGTTGACTCTCCTTATTAAATTAGGAGTATTTGTGTAATTTGTCAAGATAGCCATAGTATGCATCACAATATTGTAACATACCAAGAATTTCTCTAATAGAATTATGTCATTCTCTATCAAATTATTTTCCCCTACAACAATAATAATATAATATTCGCGATCATATATATTTCAATCACTTCACACAACCATAGCACTTTTATAAAAAAAATTACCAAAACTCACACTAGATTTTGTTTTTTTTTTTTTTTTCTGTTACAAGCACTTTACAACTAGAGTTTACCAATCAAACAACTGCTTTATTTTACAACAGTTTATCATGATAACACAATAAAAACACATTTTTAAAAAGCATAACAATACCGAACTAATCCTAAGTGGGTGATGAGATTGGCATGAAGGCTCCATGAAATCCGTATGGAACTCTACAGGGTAATGTAATTTTGGCAACAGGGTCATTGGAAAACTTCTTTGTCTCGATCACATAAACCTAAAAGGAAATATATTAAATTATATTAACCAGTTAGCACTTCAACGCATATATAAGTGTGAATCAATCTAAACAAAATAACAAAATTTCTCAAAACAAGACATCAAATATTATTATAGACGGATCGACTTACTTGAGATATGTTGGTATCTTCATTGTGAACAAAAGTGATAAGCCATCCATCATCTTCTTCAAAACCCCCTTGTTTTGGAACAAAAGAAACTCCAGTGCAAAAGCTGTTCTCCTCAAACATGTGAGTTTCCACCTTTATTGCATCTTCTAGTTGGCCTTCACTTCTCTAGCAATCCATGAAATAAAATAATAAAGAATGTTGGTCACATATTCATGCATAAAATTCCACGAGAAAAATTATAATGAAAACATGTCCAGGCCTAATTGATTATACCAAAGAAACATCAGCTGGTTCTTCAAAGTGTAGCTTGGCTAGACCATTATATTTGAGCATGCCTGAGAGACATACAGCCATAGATAACCATTAATGGTCTGAGAAAGAGCAATTTAATGAGAGACTGCAGTTAAGTTATTGTTTGGGAAAGATTAACCCTAATTACCTGAGGCAGAGCTTGCGACGGAATCAACCACTTGGGCGTAGCCATATCTATTTTTAACGCCGGAGAAAGCTCCATTGATCATGGGAAAATCTATACAAAAACTTTTTCCAGTGAGATATCTCTCACTGACTTCCCCACTTTGCATGTTTAATCTCCATTCATAAGCATGAGAAAATAAGTTTCCATAGTCGACTGATGAGATAGTATCATGATCATTTTCTTTACTTGGACTTGTAGGCTTAAATTTTCTTGGCAACCACCCAAATTGAGTTGATGCCATGTCAGGTCCTGGTACAATTGAGTCCAGAGCTTTACAACCCCACACTACAACCTGCTCATCCAACAAACAAAAATTAGATACCAAATGCGGTTTGGCTTACAAGTTAATTAGAAGTCTACTGATTATTACGAGCAAAGCTTTAGACTCACAAAAATGACACATTTGCTGATATACACTCTAATATAAGTGGTCATACATACAATGGAACGATCCACCTCTATTAAACAGCATGTCAAAAAATGAATCTCAGTTTTATGTATACAAATAGTAATTACTGGATTATTATTCCTCCAAAATGGTAAAATTTCAAATAAAATTGCCAATTTGTTTAAGTTACCTCATCACCATCTTCAAAACTATTGATTATGTGAAATGTGCAATTGGGTTCAACTTTAAACCAGCAGATTGAATCTGCATCGCCGTAGCGTGGCATCACACCGATTCGTGCATATCCTTCATGATTGTACTCTAATAATCTGCATATCAAAACCAGCACATCAAGCAATATATTTAAGAACATTGCACATGCATGTTTTCATGAGGATATAATCAGAAGGTGTAGAGTGGAACTCTGAAGGATGCATCACTTACGGGCCTCCGTTAACGAGTCTGTTTATGTCAAAAGTTAGAGGAAAATCCATGAGTACATTATACCTGCAAGCAAAGTATGCATGATTTTGAGTTAATTAAGGGGCAAAAGTTTGCTTAGAGGAAAATTATTACTGCTTGCTTGAATACCTCTCTGTGATCCCTAATTCATGGAAAAAGCTGCTCCTACTGAGTTTGAGATCTACTTTGTGAATTAGCTCCTTTCCATCAGCTGAGCAAGGGGAAAATATGCGACACATCAAAATTTCTAATGTCTACTTTGTTATTTTGAAGTCCTAGATTATTTCTAAATGATATTTATGAAATGTGCAATACTAACTTTACACACGTATTCACAATTTCTAATATAGGTGAGTCTTATATACAGTAATAGATCTATGCCTGTTAGAGAGTGTAAGCAAGACAATACCTGAAATTATTCCAATTTCCATATATGGTTTTCCTGCGTCAAATCCGTGAATGACCAGCTCCTCTGAGCCTGGAGCTCTCTGGAACATTGAAAAGAAAACAAAAGAGAACTACGTATGTGACGATACATACCAATAATTAGTATATAATTTAAAGTGAAAATTAAGGGCTATATAAAGCACTAAATATATATGTTTCTTCATTTTAATTCTTAAAAGATTGAAATTCTATTACAACCTTGTGTTGGATTATATATCGATTATAGTCCTTTGATTATATTTCTACGTCATCATAAATATTGAACTTCATATGTGTTTCTTTTTATAGGTAACTTCATTTTAATCCTTGGAAAAGATGACTTTTAGACTAAAACCGTGAGTAAGATCAAAATCTAATTTTAGTCCCTTGATGCATTAATCACCTCCCCGACCCCAAATGCTTTGTTGTTGTTGTTGATACATTAATCACCTCATTTATTAATTATATTTTTTGATGTTTTAATTATTTCGCTTTTTCTTCCAAATTTTAATGTATTAATTTTATTTCATTATAACTATAATTTTCATTTCATTTATCGTAATATATTTTGTCGTTGTTGTTGATACATTAATCACCTCATTTATTAATTATATTTTTTGTTGTTTTAATTATTTCGCTTTTTCTTCCAAATTTTAATGTATTAATTTTATTTCATTATAACTATAATTTTCATTTCATTTATCGTAATATATTTTGTTGTAAACATTTAGATAAACCAATTTTTATTTTACAATATATTTTGATATACTTTGTCTTCTTCATTTAGATACATTAAATTCATTGTAATACATTTGGGTGCATACATTTATGTTCACACATTTCAGTACTTATATTTCGATACAAACATTTAGGTACATTAATTCAATATAATACATTTTGTTACATTAGTTTAATATAATACATTTCGGTACATACATTTGGATACATATTTTTCGGTACACACATTTAGGTACATTAGTTTAATGTAATACATTTCGGTGCATATATTTCAGTACTAATATTTAGATACATTAATTGAGTTTTTCAAGTTTGAAGAATGTTAAATAAAATTAATAAATAAAAAAGGCTTTTGTTTGGTAAAAAAATATATTAAAATGTGTATATTAATAAATTTAAATATTTAATGGGAGACATTGAATAAAATACACATTAATTATTTTGAATTAAGGATAGACCAAGGGACTATAATCAATATGTAATCTAACACTAGGTTTATTTTAAATTTCAATCTTTTTCAAGGATTAAAGTTAGAAAACCCCCTCTTTTTTTAAATTCTTAATTGGTACAAGTGGCTTTCTACCACAGTGGTGGAGATGAGTATTACCTTTGCATCACGACATGGGTTCGAACCATATTAGCTTCCTAATAAATTTATTTAAAAAAAAAATCTTAATTGGTTTATTCAAAGCACACTTTTTGGCATTGATTATTGGTTGACTTTTTCAAACAATAAACGTACCTTCCAAAAAAAATAAAAATCAACACTACATTGAAAAATAAAAAAATATATAAATTCAAATTATTCAATATCATCATCCAAAACATGGAGACAATAAAAATACCAAAATTAAATATTGTACATACTCAAATGCACTTAAATCATAGTACCAAGCCTAATGCACCTAAATTATGGTAACTAGTCGAATGCATATAAATCATAGTACCAAGTCAAATACATCTAAACCATGATACCTACTAGAATGCACTTAAATCACAGTATTTAGTCGAACGCACCTAAATATGTAATCATAGTATCTAGCGGAATACACCTAATAAATATGTGGATTATAGTATCTATTTGAAAGAAGCTAAATCTTAGTACTTACTTGAGTGCACCTAAATTATATATATATACTAAAAGAGAAGATGGTTTGAAACATTGTTCCTTCTACAGTGTCATTCGGTTTTTGCCCCTACTGAATTTGTTTTATTTCATTTATGCCAAAATCTCAGTTGGTGCCTCTCTCTCTGGCTAGAAATTTTTAGTTGTGACAGGAACACGAATGGTACACCATGTGATTTTATGCAAGTGGTGAAAAATATTAATTTTTAAGTTATTAACCTTTTAATACACATAACCCACCATTTATATAGGGACACGTGGTGTACCACCTCGTGTGACAGTCACACTAAAAAATCTCTCATCTCTGGCGCTACTCATGATTTACACTTGTGGTTGGTAGATGTACACGTGTTCGTAATCTTGAAAGAAGAAGGACGGAAAAGCCGACCTTTTTCCATTTGCTTCCAGAAACGACGAGCTCTCTCTCGCAGCAACCACAAGCTCTGTTTCGGAGGATCTACGAATCCATCTCAACTTCTCTCTCAGAGCCCAGCTCAAATCCTTAGTTAAAACCATATTCTTCCCTGTTTTTCTTCTCAGCATCTTACAAAACTATTTCTTTCTTCATATTCTCTTTATGTTTGGCTGAAATTTTGAGTTGCCGACTCCCACTGTCTTCCTTCTCGACTTATTTGTCAAAATCTTTTCAGTTTTAGCAGCAGCTGATAGAAAACTTATGATTGTATTTCTTAGTCAATAAGATTACAACAGATGGTTATATATACAACTAATAAACCTATGAAAAATGACAGCTCATCTAACTAATTTACAGCTCATGAAAACTAGCTATATCAGAAAAATATCTTCTAAGTTTTATCTTTTACAATATTAGCCTTAATATCTCCCCTCAAACTAAACTGAGGTTGTCGAAGAGCAAGTTTGTGGCGGAGAAGGTGAAACCGAGGCTTAGACAGAGGCTTTGCAAATATCAGCAAGCTGATCTTGGGTGCAGATGAAATGAACTGAAAGTGCTTTAGAAAAAACCTTCTCTCGAATATAGTGGTAATCAAGTTCAACATGCTTGGTCCGAGCATGAAAGACATGATTTTTCGCAAGATGCATAGCAGAAATATTGTCACACCAGAGCTTAGGAGGAGAGGGAAGTTTCAGACCAACATCAATCAAAAGCTTGCAGATCCAGGTGAGTTCAGCAGCAGAATTTGCTAGAGAATGGTACTCAGCTTCAGTGGACGAGCGGGCCACAGTAGGCTGTTTCTTAGCACTCCAGCTAAGTAAAGAGGTACCAAGGAAGATACATAAACCACCAGTGGAACGACGATCCAGGTGACAACCGGCCCAATCAGCATCAGAGAAGGCGTTGATGCTAAGAGGTGTGGTAGTTTTAGAAAACCACATACCAAGCTTAAGAGTACCCTTGAGGTACCTAAGAATCCTCTTGACAGTTTGAAGATGGGATTCCCGTGGTTGATGCATGAACTGACACACCAAGTTGACTGCAAAAGATAGGTCAGGCCGAGACCAAGTCAGGTATTGCAAACCACCAACAAGTGATCGATTTTCTGTGGGATTAGATAAGAAGGGAGACGCATGATCCAGAGGAGAAATACTGAGGGGAGTTGCACAAGGTTTGGCACCATCCATTTTGGATTTCTGAAGCAGATCCAAAATGTATTTTGTCTGAGAAATAAAAATACCAGAGGATGAGCGTTTGACTTCCAGGCCAAGAAAATAGTGAAGAGGGCCCAAATCCTTGATAGGAAACAAAGCACTGAGCTGAGAAATTGTAGCTTGACAAGCTTGAGCATCAGGACCGGTAACAAGGATATCATCAACATAGACAAGAATGAATACCAATGTAGGATCCTTTTTAACAAAAAGGGAATGATCATTCTGTGAACCATGGAAACCAAGAGAGGAAAGAGCAGAATAGAGTTTCTCATACCATGCCCGAGGGGCTTGTTTGAGCCCATACAAGGATTTGTGCAGTCGACAAACATGAGTAGGCTTTGTAGGATCTTCAAAGCCTGATGGCTGAACCATAAACACAGATTCAGAGAGGTTCCCATGCAGAAAAGCATTGCTGACATCCAATTGATTTAGAAACCAATCGAATTGAGCTGCCAAAGTAAGAAGTAACCGAATAGTGACAGGTTTTGCAACAGGACTGAAGGTCTCCGTATAATCCAGACCGTGTTGCTGATGAAACCCTTTTGCAACAAGCCGGGCTTTGTACCGGGCAATAGTACCATCGGGGTTCCTCTTAATGCGGAAAACCCATTTGCAACCGACCAAGTTTTGAGAAGGCTGGGATGGAACAAAAGACCAAGTTCCAGTAGTGAGCAAGGCATTGTACTCTTCCTGCATAGCCTGCCGCCAATGAGGGTGTTTGGAGGCTTGTAAGTAGGTATGAGGAATATAGTCTAGGGATAGAGAAGAGGGAATGGGATGTTTGGTGCCTGTGTAGGCTTTAGGCTTGTAGATCCCAGACTTAGAGCGGGTTTGCATAGGGTGATTATTAACCGAAGGGGAAGGAGGGGAAGGGACTTGAGGTGGTAGAGAAGGGAAGAGGGTGGGGAAGGAAAAGGTGCAGGATTAGGATTTGAAGAAGAGGAAGAAATGGACTGAGACAGAGATGTGGTGATAGGAGTGGTAAAGGTTAAAGATATGGGAATGGGATTGGGACAGGTACTTAGAAGTGGAGACAGAGAGGGAGAGTGGGGAATGTGATGAAAAGGAAAATGGAGTTCATCAAAAAGCACATGACGGGAGACATAAATCCTTCGAGTCACAACATCGAGACACTTGTAACCTTTATGTTGCAAACTATACCCCAAAAATACACAAGGCTGACTTTTGGGATCAAGTTTCGAGTGAACATAAGGTTTTAACCAGGGAAAACACTGGCAGCCAAATATTTTGAGTGTATGATAATCTGGAGATTTGTGAAAGAGAGATTCCCAGGGAGAACACTTGAAGACAGTGGGAAGCCGATTAATCAGATATATAGCTGTAGCAAAAGCATCAATCCAAAATTCATGGGGAACTTTAGAGGCAGCAAGAAGAGTGCGTGCGGTCTCAACAATGTGCCTGTGTTTCCTTTCAGCATAACCATTCTGTTCGGGGGTGTGAGGACATGTAAGTTGATGAATGATGCCATGTGTTTTCAAGAAACAGGAGAATTGAGTACTAGTAAATTCCCCACCAAAATCGGATCGCAGAGTCACAATCTTAGTGCAC